TAATGGTTTATATTGCAGTGCAATTATTGTAGGTTTATGTACCATTGCACCCAATTAACCCAATTCACCCCAATATTAAAATAAAATAAATAACAGTTTATAAATATTTCCTCAAATAGGTTTTCAACAATTAATTAAAATTTCAAACTAATTTTAATAATTTGTTACGGTAGAATCGTTTGTAGTGTATTATATAAGTACTGTTATTATATTGAGTCTTCGTTAACAATTGCGATTTTCGAAGTGGATATAGCATTATGCAAGAAGGTATTTGTATTATGTTGTATTCTCATATCTATACCGTGGGTCGTGGGGCACCGATGATCATCGGATCTCATCAGTACCTACATAATTTGTTTACAAATATTATTCAAATATTTAACACAATGAAAATTAGTTATTTACGCATGAAAATATTTTTGAAGGTCATACATCGTGTATACACGTTATGTACTTATGTATGTAATTTTCTTATCAGGTTGTAAAATCAATGTAATTATATGTAGGTATGTATACAATATACATATATATACCTATGTGGTATGTACCTTCTATAATTTTAATGATGCTGTGTTTATTATTGTTTGTTTTATTATAGTGGCACAGACCACAGTCATTTCTATTGTATATTTTTTTTTAAAATAAAGAGAACCTATTATACTGAACATCGAAATTGTACTATTCCTATACATAGTTCACAATAAGACTGTTGGAAAGTTTTTAAAACACACAGTGATTATATAATATAGTACATTATTTGTATTTAGTCCAGGATAAAGTAGGTACTCATAATATAATATTATATATGGTAGCACAGTCATACTTCATAACTTTTGATGACCATGTTTACATTTTATCCTTGAATGTGCTTATTAAAACTTCAATTCTTGGACCATTATGTTATGCGTTTTTATTTTATGGTTAATGAATATACCTACATGAACACAATGCATAAATTAATATATTTTATTAGTAAAAAGATAAAAAAAAAGATATATGACCGTGATACCGATGATTTACATTTGATTCGTTAAATTTATTATATTTAAAGGAAAGCTTTATAAATTATAATATTTTTGCCAGCGGCCCATAATTGTATTTTATTTATCACGCGATTAACAGGACGTCGCACTAGCTGTGTTGTCTCCGTCTTACAAATGTACAACATAGCAAAAACTATTGTACGCGGGTAAGAACAAAGAAAGCTACATTTATAACTAAGAAACGACATTTTCACCACATAAGAAGAGAACTTTGGCTGTGCAATAGAATTTGTATTTTTTTCATATCACTTAAACGAAAAATGTTCATATTGTTTCAAAATGTTGTGTTTTTCACTTTTCCAAACTTTAATAACTTTTTTGAACAATCTGATATCGAAAAAATAAAAACGATAATGCAAAGCCAAAGTTCTCCTTTTTATGTGGTGAAAATTTCGTTTCTTAGTTATGTCTGTAGCCTTCTAGGTTCCTTCCCGCGCCGAAACAGCTTTTGCTATATGCCGTACGTGTGTAAGACGGGGCAACATATGCGGGTCGCGGGTGCGACGTCTTCTTAATGCAAAACATCAAAACATTAAATTTACCAACCCGTAATATTTCATTTGATAACACAATTTGAAGTATGAATTAAGCATTATTATACTTCCAGTACACAAGAATTACGTCTTATCTAGAGATGAAATAAATTCAAACTCGTAATAAATAAATATAATATAATATAGGTATAAGACCTATATAGAATATTTATTTATACAAAATCATATAATGAATCATATTTATTTTATTAAAGTAGAACAATTAAAGTGTTGTACATTGGTAACAATGTCTATACTAGGTATATAGATAAATTATAGTTAGGTATTATAATGATATATAGCAATTGTTACCTATATAGACTGCAGCTACAATATTTAATGTAGGTACCTACGTCTCAAACATCAATAAGGCATTGCCCGAGTATATTTGAGGAAATTGTAATTTATAATATATCACAACAAAATAGGTACTTAAACAAATTTAAATGTAAAACAAGTTTTAATTTCAAAACAAAAACGAATCTCGTACGAATAGGATTGCAGTTTTAAATTTAATTGAATATATTAATAATAATAATAATAATATTAATAAAAGCAGTGACCATCCAACGTGGTAAATAAATAATGAGATTTAATAATAACGCACTTTACTCCGAAGTCTGTCAAATCGGATTGCTATTGATAAGGAAAATAATTCTTAATTTTTATATAGTTAATTTTGAGTTTATATATTGATAAAAAGTGTTTTGCTGATAACAGCTAAACGAAATCAAAGTATTGGAAAAAAAACTGGCATCAGTAGTTGGAGGGGCATCAGAATTCCAATGAGATCCTCTGGAGAAGTTCCCATTGGCGCAACACGTTTAATCAGTATAGATCATGTAGTTGCTTCATCATATGAATATGTAATGGTTAAGTTGTAACCACTACTGATGCAATTGTACTGCTCGTCGTCGAGGTATATATATGCAATATTTTATCTTGGACCCGGCACCAGTTTCACGTTTTGGTCATCGCTGCTTTGGTGGCCTTCGTCGACCGTCAGACGGTAGCCGGCCACTCGGGCTGTTCGGTCGGAAATCCAAAGTCGTAACGGTTGCCGGTGGGGGGTGACTGCGACGAAAGTTTTCGAAACGTTCGACGGCGACGCACGCCGGACAGGCGTCGATACACCATCGTGCGGTAAGCGCCATCTATCGGCAGCGACTACAGACAGTCGGACAGAACGTCCGGAGCTGCGAGTCGACGACGACGCGACCGTCGCGCGCTCGCGGACAGATAATATTATTATTATTCCGACGCGTAGTTATTACTATTATTATTATTATTATTATTAATTCAACGCAGTGTGAGCGTGGTGCGTACGGCACTCGTTTTCAAACGAAAAACGAATCGAATCAGAGTGGCGTACTGGCATCGGATTCGTAATGAATAATTTTTAATTTTAGTACGAAAATTAAACGTTCATTCGCCCTACAGTTATCATTCTCATATGATCGTCATTATTTTGTAATCAATTTTCATACTCTGATATTATAATATTAATATATTAGTAGGTGTTGAATATTTCATAATACCTATTATGTTGTTACTCGTGAAATACTGATATTCCGGATACTCGGACTCGTTAATAACTTTAATCGTGATATTCGATTTGAATCATTTGTTAATATCGAAATATTGCCAATTTAGAACACCTGGTTGTAAGAAATGTATTTAATTTTTTTTTTTGAAAATTAAGTCTTAGTGACTGTATCGACGATTATTGACGTGTCTCGTATATTATGTTACTCGAGGAGTCGCGTGTGGCAGGTATAAGGTCATCACGATACACATGACCTATAGTCTGACACACTACTTATTTTTCATCATAATCAACTAACTGTCTAACTCAACTGTTATTTACTAAGTATAAATTTAATTTAAATTTATAAAATTTTGTATTTTGTTCTTTGGTAATTACAGGTAATACAATATAATATGTAGTATAATATGTGTATAATATCATATTATGGTTAAAATTTGAAATTTCGGACGATAATGCACCGTAACACGCATATTCCTAAATCATATAATGTATGTTATTATTATTGTGCATATTATAAATTAATTTTCGCCAAAACTGTATAGGAAATATAACGGCCGAGGTCGTGCCGCGTTCCACAGCACATTCCGAGACCGCTTAATCATATTAATACATATAAAATATGAATATATGATATATATTATTATCCAGTGTTCATACCAATATACCATAATATTTTATATATAGGTACTAGGTATACATTACGCAAAGTGATTTGTGACGTACCAACGTGTACTTACATTATTTTTACGAAACGCGTCAAGTATACGAAATTATCTGCGACGGAAGAATTAATGTGAAAAAAAAAACACAAATTCCAAAACCAGTCGTTTGCCTACAATAATATCAATATATTGCCATCGAATACAAGTGCGTCATCATCAGCCATCGCTATTCCCTACCTTTTAAAATTTAAATCATAATAACAATAATATACGTGGAGTGTGTGACGCGTCACAATAACCGGTCCCGTCCGATTTCCCGAGGGAAACGTCT